CGTCGCCAGGGGACTACGAGTCCTTACACACCCCCAGAACACATAAGTCCTCGTTAGAAGTAAGACTAGATGAACAAGATAAATATATTTAGTCAAGAAGCCATTTAACTTAGATGATACTTGCTCTCAGCAGCTAGAATGCCCGAGTAGTGTACGGCTGCAAGAAGATATTGAGTGTTAGAGTTCTAATCATGGTATTTCACATGTCCAACCATCATATGCAACAGAGAAGCTGCTATAATTTGGCTTACACATTGTCATGAACACTTTGAGCTATACAGTATCAAGAAGCACTTACAACTCCCCCACGCGTCGATTCGAGCGTGGCTATAGGATGGACATCAGTAACATGTAACCTGGCAAGATTACTGTTGAACCCTTACAGTAGATGGTCATGGCAAGGGTCACGAATGGTAAATAGCGAGAAATGACGAAGACTATCCTCGTAAATCCCCACATTCGTCTCCATGTCCAGCGAACCTGATGCCTCGTCAAGTTCTCATAATAACCATAGATTGAATTGGCATTGACCTCTGAATCGAAAGTGATGGTATAGTCGAAAAGCTGCCAAGTCAGTCAGATATGTATGCTTATTTTGAAGTTAAGAAGTCGGATCACCAAAGCTGCTGTGGATGCAGCTGTCGCGAACATTGAGTCAAACAGTGGAGCATGATGAGCATCGAGTATTGGCTACTACCTCCAACGTACTAAATAGTAAATACGCGTGAGTTAACATGTATACAGCTGACAGAGATAATGCGACGCGCACCGCAACAGTTTGAAGAGCGACAGAGTCTGTGGAAGAATCAACCATGTGGATAGAGGGAACACGTAGCTATAGTCGCTGCACAGTTTTAATATCTCGCCCGCCTCCACAAGGTGACAAAGATATGTAGGCTATCCTTGTGCGCCATGATGTGCGGCATTGTGCGAGGCGGTCTAACCATAGATGTACGGTAATTAGGTCCTAACCTACCGGCTCGGGCAGTCCGGTGATTCTGCTCCATACTCGACCACCAGCTCGATATAATATTTCGGGCCGTTCAACAGCATTCAACTCTTCTCGGTTTTTGCGTGTGAGTGCATCATGGTATATTTCAGCGTCCACGTTACATTCTGACGACTTTTTCCATTCTCTCCTCGGGGCAATTCTGATTGTTTTCACGCGCACTGCGCATCTGCGCTGCCAGCACTTTTTTTTAGTATCGCTGATACATTAGCTGCTGTGCGTGCATCAGCGCGCGTGAAAACGGTGGGATTTGACCTGCTATCAACTCTTTTTCTTGTGATCTAACATATTTTTATGCCTTTTGACCAAAGGTTCCTTGTCGAGTTTCTCCGACTCGTTCTCACAGTGCTATTGCACTCTACGTGCCGGACGCACTCGGCTTTCTTTCTTTTTGATAATGTTTCTCAAAGGCAGGCCGCAGCCTAATTTACTTCTTTCTGTATTAGGAATCACGATCGGAAGGGTTGTCATTATTACATAAAATCGTCAGTGCCGCTGGCAGTGGGAATATGCATGATATGCGTGGTATGCACTTTGTATGGTAGCTTGGCCCGCCATCTTGAACATTCCACTTCAAGCAATGGGCAACCTAGTATCTTGGTTAGGCGATGCAGCACCTCCAAAGTCCACCTTTTCAGTCGACCAAATTCCAGACCTGACAGGAAAAGTGGTTATTGTGACTGGTGCTAACACGGGCATCGGCAAGGAGACCGCGAAGGTGAATCGTTTTCATCATCAACATCGACTGAGTCCTGAGTCCTGACGGTTCATGTCAACCCGTATCCCAAGGCCCTACTCGCACATGGTGCCAAGGTTTACATTGCGGCTCGCAACCAGGCCTCTTCAGAGGAAACTGTCCGTCAACTGAAACAGGAGACCGGAAATGAAGCTTTTTTCTTCAAACTTGACCTTGGAGACCTTAAGGCAATCAAGTCGTCCGCTGAAGAGTTTCTGGGGTAAGAGATGCGCTAATTCAAGGAATTTTTAATCGAGCTATGTGATAGCAAAGAAACGCAGCTCCATATACTGATAAATAATGCGTAAGATAATTTGTTCCCTGGATGCGATCCGTGATGCTGAATATAAAGATTCAGTGGTGTTATGGTACCGCCCGTCGAGCTAGTGACTTCAGACGGCTATGACCTCCAATTTGGAACGAATGTCCTTGGTGAGAAACAACTCGAGTGGCTTGGCTGAGGCTGATACATGAATGCCTTCCAGGCCACTACTATTTCACAAAGCTGCTGCTCCCCGTTTTGACTTCGACAGCTAAAGCCACCCCTGAAGGAAAAGTCCGCGTTGTGAATGTCGCTTCCTGCGCCCATTTATTTGGGAAGCTCGATTTTAACACCTTCAAAGATGGCCCAGCTCGTAAGAAATGCACGACGGGTGCACTTTATAACCAAAGCAAATTCGTAACGTACTCCCATTCATCCTGTGGAATGAACCTGATAATGATGCAGGGAAATATCATTCTCGCTCTTGAATTGGCGAAGCGATACGGCGACCAGGGTATTATTTCGACAGCGCTGAATCCCGGCAATATCAGATCGGACTTGCTGCGTCATGTTCCGAGTATAGTCCAGCAAATTTTGGTAATCCAGAGCCCTGTTTCTAGTTTAGTGCTAAAGAGAGTTGTTAGTCCGTGGTGGTGCTCTATCCAACGCCTCAAGGCGCGCTTACGCAGCTGTATGCTGCTACGTCTCCAGAAGCTGCTAGCTTGAATGGGAAGGTAAAGATTGGGGCTAAACTCATGTGACATTCTGATGTTAAGATATCTTCAGTATCTCGTGCCGTGGGCCCGCGTCAAATCACCTAGGCAGGAGACTCAGGATCCTCAACTCGGCAAGGCGCTGTGGGATTGGCTGGAGGAACAAGTTAAAGATGTATAATTTGGTGATGTGGTGTATTGTATTGCAAATTACGTAGCATCAAACAGAACAGCATTCTTGATTTGTGAAAATGCCAGCAAGGGAGCTTATCAGAGGCTTCTGAGGGCGAATACGAGAACTTTTCAGCCTTCTTCATCAGATGAGGAACCCAGAGCGATGGAGCGCTTTGTACTGGAGGTGGTACGTCCGAGCTTGGAAGCAACTGTAAAGTCAACTATCCGTGAAAATCCACTAGCACTTACCATAGACATCTGTGCGCGCCGATCACGCAAACTCATCGATGCGGACGCGGAATCAAGTATAGGCGCTGGCGGTACTGTAGCAAAAGCAACTTGGCGCCGTGCTATTCCACCTGTAGGATGCTGAGTTTGAGTTTTCAGGATGGGCTGCAATGGGGCCAGAGGAGGAGACAGAGAAAGGGAAGATAACGGTGATGACGCAATGGAGATGTAACATTTCAGGGGTGAGCGAAGAACTTCTTCCAACTTGATAGCCTTCGAGACTGGAGGCGGTGTCATGGGCAGAGCTGAAGGGACTGATTCAGGCATCGTCTTCCTATTTGTTTGGTTGGTAGTTGGCGGCCCAGAGTCGTCAAGTTCTAGATCCGTAGTAGAGATATTCGGAACGATTGGTGCTGCCATTGACGGTGTAGGAATCACCATTTGAGTTGATGGAAGTGCATGTCCGTCCGACTGAGGTGATGCATGCATTGTTTGAGCATCCGCGGAAAAAATTGCTCCAGGGCCAGAACAAGAAGACTCAGTGGTGGGGTTTCGAAACTGTAGATTGACATGATTAACTGGAGAAGGAAGCAGTATGTCAGCGAGAGGGGTCCTCGTGGTCCGTCTGGGCCATAGAGCTGCAGAATGGTTGTTGTTGCTAGTTGTAGAGTCGTCTGTTAGAGGAGTCAACCCATCGGTATTCAGGGGTTTCCGTAGATGCGAGACATTTTCTTTTGGAGACTTCGCAATATAAGATGACTGTCTCGTGAGTTGAGGGGAGCCAGTTGGTAATACGCCATCCAATCGCGGTTTCTTATGACGATCAATGTGAGGACTATGCAGCGGGGCGAAATAGTGGGGGCGAGTGGATTGGGAGCGCCCTGGATGTGTCTCGTCTTGACTTAACCACGAATTGGTCCGCTTCCGGTTGGGACGGTACTCAGATCGAGAAGGCAGAATTTCTGGAGCTGGTCGGGGAACACTTCGTATGCTATTAGAAGACGCAGATAGATTGGATAACGTCGACTTCATGCTGTCGATATCGCTGCTCAGACATGACATGCTGCACGAGACATTATCGTCTATGGTTGTTTTGACCTGATCGGCTATGAAAGCTTTGGCCTGATCCACGTGCAAAGGGAAGGCTTGTACAAGCGGGAGAAGTGGGAGTACAGCGGTTAGTATTGCATGCTGTTGGTCCTGTATGGCTTGCATAGAATGATTCTGGGATTGGATGAGCTACACAACCATGGCCCGTCAGCGGTGTACTAGTAATAAAGTGAGCTTTTAGCATAAATATGAGGTACCGTTTGAATAGCATCTATGCGTTTATCCAGAGCTTGTATGCTGATGTTCGCTGAGGCTTGTGATTTCTGGATCAATTCGAGAGCTGAGGCCTGCGAGGGGGCACCGATGCAAGCTTTCAACTCATTTTGCACTTTCTTAGCTGAAAGGAGTGATGAGAATATCTGTTTCGTACAACGGCTAAAGCAGAACGGTGTACTCACAACTACTTGTGATCTCGTCGAGTATACGTTCACGTTCACTTTCTGAAATCCGGTTACAGTTCGCCACCTCGGTCTTTGCGTCCTTGACGTTAACGAGCAAAGTGTCGACTCTAGTAGAGAACCTTTCGAGGGTCGCCTGCATGTCGTGAATGAGCATTCGCATGGATGTGTTCGTCCTGTCAACTGGTGCCACTGGAGGGATCACGGGCGTGGCAGAGAAGTCGCTCGACGCTGGGAGATCCTTCTGGAGAAGATATGCCCATAGTGCGTTGGGTGCCGTCTTCCGCTCGTTGCTCATGGTGAGATGGACTGAGGTAGACAAGTAATGTTGCGTACAGATCTAGAAGAAATAGATATGGATGTGATTATCAGCAGCATGACGCAGTGGAAGCGTGCAGGGCTCATAACCCTGAGGTCACTGGATCGAAACCAGTTGCTGCTATATTTTTTGGTGATTACTATGTAGGAGTAAGGAGACCTAAATTTTACTCGACATTGAAAATCGGCTGGCTTGTTGTAAGACCTTGAAGTTGAAAGTCGTTCCTTCTTTTTCAAAAGGTCTAGCTTACTGTTATTCTTGTGCTTCTGCACGCTCGTGATTTGCATGTACTTCTGGGAGTTCTGGGAGTTTTCGATTAATAGCATATGTACAGGAAGGCTCGAACGTAAAGATGCTGCTGACTTTCAGCTACATAAACATTGAGAGAAACTAAATCAGATCGGTGTCATCAGACAGTCTTCGTTTTCGCCTCGAACATCCTCCATTTACAAAAATGATACACACATTAATAATAAGCTTGTATAGTTATTCAGTCAGACACCTGGTGTGTCTGCAGTAACCTACGGTGGTTGCGCAAAGCCGACGTTCTCCGCTGATTCAAGAGCCCATACGCCTATTTCGTCCTGTGGGAGTCGACTCCACTTGGCATAAACCTGACAGTTTGTTAGAACAAGCAAATACGTCGAAGAAAAAAATCACGTACATCATCCAGGATATCCAGTAGCTCCGCTGCCTTAGCATCTGCAGCATGCTGCTTTTTGTTGTTATCCTCACATTGGGCATACAGAGCACTGTTCTCTTCTTCGAGCTGTCATGAAATCAGATAATATTGTGGATAGCATTTGAGAACTACGCACAGCCTTTAGTTGTGCTCGTAAATGTTCTAATTCAGGTTCCATCACCCGGACTGTACGCGCACGAACAGCAGCACGCGGTGCGAGGTTTTCTTTCCATATATCTTTGCCATCCACTTCCCCGCGTTGTTTGCGAGCTCTTGCTTCAGATACAACGGTATGGAGAGTGTTGATACTGTCTCTGACATTGAACTCCTTGAACAGGTTCTCACAGCTTTGCTGCGTGACCATCAGTCATTGTGGATGCTATCACATAAAATCGTGGAACTGACGTGTATCTGGTCTTCCATATGCCTTGAAACGGTGTTAAATATACCCTCTGCACCGTGTGGTTCCTCCTTGCACCAGAGCGTGAAGCATTCTTGGAAATCTTCATATCTATGCGATCGTTAGAATGACCACTTGGAAATATGAGTAACCTATGATACTCGCGTCCATTTGTGTGCTGCGCGTGATATGGCAAGCTGCAGGGCTGAGTGAAAATGAGTCCAACGCTTACTGTCTGGTGCTGTCTTCATTCAAGTTATAACTCAGTACAAGGATTCGGAAGTCGCGTTCAACGGGATGCACACAGCACGTGATCAATCAATAGTGGGATGGAATTGCTGTGGACGTCGCACGTCACATCTATGGACCGCAACGACGAAAACGATGGGCAGCCAGCGAGGATACAACAACAGAGGAGCTCTGTTCCGTCATTTCTCTTCCTAATATTCATGCTCTACATACTCACGAATCATAGTGGAGATGAATTTCTTGCCCGAAATCATTCTCAGGATTCCCTTCAGTCTCTCAACTACCAGCTGTCAAACTTTACTGCTTGGCTGAATGGGACAGAGACCAATTTCACAATGGTGCGTGCTCAGCGCTCCTGATTCTTGAGCGATGCCGAGGAAACCGCAGCCGGACAGGAAAGCCGCCACCCCTCTGGTCGAGTCATTCATGTCCTTTGGATCTCGTCTTAACCCACAATGGACCTCTTACTTTCCGAATGTGACTGGATTCGCGCACGGCGAGATGGACTTCTTCAATATCACCCATCCTAGCCTCGCATCCACAAGCTTTCCTTGGAGAACACATGCTGACACATTCATGGGCGACACGAATCCGGCGGAGCTTGTTGCTCATCTTGGCTCTTGGAATTGGACAGGCTCAGACAAAGTCTCATGGAGTATCATGGATCGAGCTCCAGTCAGCATGAAGGGTGTTACAGAGAAGATCGCCATGGTCCATGTAGGCTGGTTTCATTACTTTATTTCATAACTTGAATCCTGGTACAGGGCAGAATAGACATTCGCCATCCTGCCAGCTCCGAAGACATGAAACTGGATTTTGAAGGCGTCCACTTCCTTGCAAATGGGTCTATATTTGGCTTTGCTGAACCGAGCGGGTGCGTTAGCAGTATGATGCCAGACAACGTAATATAATGTTTGCATCAGTCAACATATAGACATTCGCTACATCCCAGCAATCGTCCCAGAAGCATTCCAGAATGATACCGCTCGAGCAATAGAACCCGAATTGATCTCTCGAGTTAACAAAGTTAGAGATATGATTGATGCAGGGATTATCGAGCAGGAGTCGACCGGTGAGTTAAAATTTTAATGCTGCGTTCTCGAAATTATATCGTATTTGCAGGTGGGGAGTCGCAAGGCGGTTGTGGGTTCAGCGTTTACGCGCAAATTGTGCCATCTGAGATATCCATGCATGATATGGAGGATCTTGAAGCAGAATTACAGACACCAACTGGGAGACGGACAGTGAACAGGCCTCCTCTTAAGCTCAATGGTGTGCTTTTAAGTAAAGAATGCGGTATTTTATATCGCCTGCATGATGCAGAAGGATTAAGGTATTTTTGTTATGCTTTTTTATTTTGTTATCCAACTGAGTGCTTGCGTATCAAGGTCTCAGTCGTTCTTCCGCAAGGTTGCAACATGTTAGTGCGCTTTGTCTAACGCAATCAGTTTATTGATTTGTGCGCAGATGCTGGCATCTCAGCCTGTGTGTATCTGGCACAGCTACTATTGCTTTCGCGTCAAGTTGACCGAAGCCGCACTCCTGCTGGATTGTCTCGTGTATCCCTATGGACGTTCCTTACACAATCTATTGTGGATTCCGTCTCGTTTGCTGGACATATCACTTTTGCCATTCTTGCCAATGGGCGTCCTTCCTTGTCGCTCGTGGCTCCTGCATTCGTCGCCTGCGTGCTTTTTGCTTTCGAATCAGTCAGTGCTTTCATTGCTTCATGAATTATGGATTTCAAGACTGAAATGACTTAGCAACATGCCATCCTCATTAACCAGGTTCAAGCACCTGAGGATGCAGTGGCTCCATCCCCTCCGCGGACAGTGCAACAGGAACCATCACCGCCCTCTCAAACCGCTCATCCACCACCACCAACAGCTCCTCCTCGACCAACTGGTCCGACATTTTTGACTTTATTGTTTCAGCATATTCGCTCGGATCCACAAGCACGGATATGTAAGCATTCTGGTGCTCTCGTAATCATTCCTGATGTTCGTCTAGGGCTTGGAATGTTTTTCTTCCTAACATTCATCGTCCGAGTTATTGTGACTCCTTCACTGGCATTGGTATTTGTGGCGAGCATGTACTCACTTTTCTGGCTGCCACAGATTGTGCGATCAGTGAAAAAGGGCAGGAGCAGTGCACTGACCGCAGAGTACATGATTGGTACATCACTCTGCAGACTTTTCCATGCACTTTGTGAGTATCAGTGCATTTGTGGTCAATTTATGTCTGACATTTCGTTAGATTTCTTGACATGCCCGAAGAACGTACTTGATGTCGAGCCACGCCGTAGGTACCGAGTCGTGGAAAACTAGGGTTAACTTATAATTTGCTAGGTTGGATGTGGTATCTTGCGGTGTTTATTTTCCTCCAAGTCGCCGTTGTACTACTTCAGCAACGTCTAGGACCGGCGTTCTTCCTTCCGAAACGAGTAGGCCGCTTTCCTCAATTACCAATTTTGTTTTTGCTGATATTTGCAGTTCGCTCGCGTGCAAGTGTATGACTATCATCCACTGCTACCACTATCTGTTGCTGACCCAGAAGCACCCGATGAATCTCTCGGGGACTGTGCTATTTGCATGGAGGCGATTCATACCGATGATGAGAAGCAGCTACAGCAGGTTACTGGTGGATTGCTGCGCAATGTCGGAACGAGGCGAAGCTATAGTCTGGCACCTTGTCAGCACTTATTTGTGGGTTCTTAATATCAATTATAAGCAAAAACGCGCTCATACTGTTTGAACAGCATACGGAGTGCCTGGAAAAGGTAACTTAAATTCTCGCTGTTGAATTCTATATACTGATATCCTCCGTCGTCTAGTGGCTTGCTATCAAGGTAACTCTTTACATAACGAGATGGGGTTGCGTATTAATCAATCACCTTTAGAATATCTGTCCCCACTGTCGAAGGCCACTCCCGCCACTTTGAGAAATCTAATGTCCCGTAACGAAAATATACCCTACCAACACAAACTCTGGCTCAGTACAACTACTCACCTCGCATTTCACATGTATTATTACAGCTCCCTTGTCGGTCTGTTCTTCAGAACTACTTGTTTGCAAGTCAGGCACATAAGATCCTAACTTCGCTCTCGATCGTGTGACTCAACGTCTTCACTTCACGACGTATCTGCTCCCGTTGTCCCCACCCAAACCTCAACAGGTGATTCATCTGCCCCAGGAACTTTTGCAACCTCTTCAAAATGTATGCCGATTTTCTCTGTCATTTCCCAAAGGGTACGTTCCGCAGCATCTCGCTCCTTGTATCCAAGAATGATAAGTGGGGCTTTTGCTGGAGCGACACTCAGTGAAAACCTGATAAGCCTGGAAAGTGTTCCAATGAGTGAAGGGAACGATGAGGTGTTATACGTGACATCTGCCATCCTGATGTGGAAGCTTGAAACTGTCATCTACGCAGGTTAATTGATACACACTCACACAATCACATCAATACCACTAACAAATGACTCCACTTGGGTGGGAATCTCAGTTTCATCCCAGTCAAGAACTGCTGCTTCTGGTGCGTTGCAAGGGTAGAAAGATTGACTCGATGTAATGTTTGTCTGTAATAACGGTAAAGCAGACGCTGGTTATTCCAATCAGTGATTTCGCTGTTGATCTGTCACTGGGTGCTCACGCAAATCAGTAGTGACAATTTTTCCTGATTTTCCAGCTGAATCGAGCAAGCCTCGAAGAATGCCAAGAACAATAGCAACTATGCCTGTCCCCGCACCTACTTAAAGTTAAGCACTTTGAACGATGCTGCTCATTGAAGATTGT